TGGAGTTGTACTCGCAGCCGATAGACCGTTACCCCTGCTAAATTACTTTCTTTGTTTGTCAATTTGAATTTCTATTTCATTATCATGTAATTGTTATAGTAAGAATGTAAAGGAGAAGTTGGCTGATTTTCCGTTAGTCTGCAATCTCGAACCAATCTGATTATACAAACAACAACAAACAAGTAAATTCATCTGGGAAACATGGTCAGTCGTAAACCGTTTCAAAATGGACTATGATGTCATTCCCAAAGACATAAATAAAAGTATGAACGTGACTACATTTGGGTTTAGAGGGCAAATTTAAAGATTCTTGTAATGGCTGCGCCCACACTGGTGGCAGCGATGTTACTGGGTGTGTAACGAAGGTGTCACGCCCTGGGAAGGTGCTTGGTTGGTCCCCAGCAGCCGAGGATGGTCGTCAGAGATGACTTGCTGTTGATTGCGTGTCATCATGCTGAATGGAGGGCAATAGCGAAGAATTGTTTAGTGTAGATGCATCCGTTATTTTTTGTGTAAAATTATTATTGTGGTATAAAAAGATGCAAAAACGCATGAGCAAATTCATATTTTTCACATAAAGTCACTGTCTGCGACTTTCTCATGTTTACCACTCGTCTGAATCCCGATTACAGTAACAGGTATCCGTCACACAGCCCTTGAAACAAATATATTCAATACAGCCCAATCACATCTATAATATTTTGGCAAGTTTAGATTACTGCAGTGTCAGGAAAAATTTCTCCAGGGTCATTGTTATTATATTTTATGACTATATTTTAATAACTGTTTTATCTGTAAAAAAGTTGATTTCAGGGACTAGATGTTACTATAAGTAACAAGGTTTTACGCGACGCAGAAATGTGCAGAAAGGTTTAGAATGGACTCAGAAAAAGGAATATTGTGTCTTGCTCAGGGACAGACAATGACGTTCATAGTATGAAATTCTTTACAAGAAATATGAAGATCCTAAATTATAGTTATTATCAAATCTTACAGTACAGTGCACTACAACATTTGATTAATTTACAGGACCCTCATATTTCCTGTAAAGTGACCTTTGAAATTTACAACTTCCATTTTGTAACTTAAGGTAAAACCCTACAGTAACATTCTGTAGTAAGCCCAGCTAATAACAGCCCATTATTATTTACACACAGATCTATTGAAAATTACGCCGTGACAAATTCAGGTCATGAGACTTGAATGATTTTGGCAAAATCTGCATAACATAACAAAATATAAAATCAGGCAAACTGTTGCGCTCACTCACAATACACTAACAGAAGCTATACAACATAACCATGATAACAATACAAATACCCAGGCATTGATTTATCCTGAAGGCTTGAATGCAGCAATTTAAGGACGGACAAGGTAATACCTCTTTACTGAGGTGCCTGTACAGTGTATGACATTGCAGGATTTTGTGGGCGTGGCACTTCAGCTTGTACAATGACAAATTGCTGCTACACATGGTTGAACAATGCTGCAACATGACTTGCTCTCAAAAGGAAGTGAAGTAAAAACATGGGTTTATTCCGCACTGAACATTTATGTCTAAGCCATGTAAGTGTGTTTGATAATTGCAAAGGACTGACAAAGAAAAATCATTTAATGGACCTTATCTGTATTGATCTTGATTGATTTGACATGCTCTTTAGGGGATGTGTCATAAATTTTTAAGTCAGTTTAGATGAAATGGGGAGATATATTGGCTGGAGACCTACGAAGCAAGACTATCATTTCTCTTGGGTTGATAAGCGATATTGTTGTCCCATTATGTATGTGAAGTGGATTTGGGAAAGAAGATCTTCAGTTGATAGACTAAGGCCTGCATGTTCATTTGATATGTACATAGATTGTGATGGAGAGTAGGATCAGTGTTCTTACACAGGTTGTAGTATAGTGTCAATATTTTCAGTAAGAACTGTAACCATGGTAACAGGTACAGAAATGTCCAATGGGGATGATAGGCTTCCAGCAAAGTGGATAAAGTATTTGTTCAACATGTTCTTGGTCAGAGTTTGATTCTGGTATCTTTTCATGAAAATATTTGTCACATATTAACATATGATTTTATTCTTACATGTTTAAGTTTTCCTATTCTTTACATATATATACAGTGTTCCCCTGAGCTTTTGAATCTGCCAGACATTGTGGACTGGTAACTCTAAAAATATGCAGTCCCCCCTAATTTTTGCCAGTACCAACTTTCAACAAATAAAAAAACGCATGAAAATGATTAGGTTTTAATTCTTTCAACATCATGTTCATTGCAAAGATGTCATCTCGGAAGTTACTTTGTTAGATCTATACGTCATTCACGCAAACTTCAGTCACAATTTTCTCTCTTTTTTATACATTTCGAGAGGAAGTCGCTTCAAATGATGGTAACAAAAAATGTACTTATATGAATATCACCGATGCCTTGTTCAACAACAAAGATTTATAAGGTACTATATTTGCCGGTCCACAGGGACTAGCAGTCATATGAATTATCGGTCCAAGCCTAATTTTATCGGTAAAAAACTGGTAATTACCGGTAAAAAGGAACGCTGATTTATTTATAATGATTGATTAATAACAATGGTGACAAGTTTGAGTAATTTAAGAAATATGGTGATGAATAGAGTAAGTAAACACACTTGCTTACTTTCTCTACACAACCGCACAAACTATTGTGATGCATGGTACTTGGATGAATCCTAACAAACCTAATTAAAACCACTGTGAAGTTGAAGAAGGTTTATTTCTCTTTGCCCTCAGTATGTACTCTTGAAACATACTTAAATGTTTCAGTACCCAAGTTAAGTAAATAAACATTCCCACAGGGTCTTTGTCCGTGGCCAGGTTAGCAGATTAACTGCCTGCTATAAATGTAATATAGCCCTTGTGGGGACTATCTATTGTTATCAGGCTCCCTTGATAGCCCTGTGGGGTTCTCACAGGTGCCGATCACTAATGTCACACGCTGTCAGCGACCTGGGTAAATACGTGGCTCCTATCCCATCGGTCATGTCCACCTGTTGTCCGGCTTCAGGACACTTTCTGTCCAAATATGAATATTGATCTTTCGTGTGGACCATGTGATGATAGTTTATTTGAACTTTGACCCTCCATATTTAGTCAATGTGGTCTGGTGATGTGAAGAATATCATTATTGACAGGTATTGATGTAAACACATACAGTCAAACAGTTGTTGATGTGTTGAACGTTTGCTTGTCTCGAAGTTATAGCTTGGTCACTGCATATTCCTTCTTCGTTCCTTCCTTTGGTTGTGTCAAACCTCAGATAACTCGAAGTATTTACCTTGGACCCAACAGTGTTAGACTGTATGTTATATAATAAATGTCTTGGGAATTTGAAGAATTAGAGAATTTTTTTACACAATTTAAAATGAAAGTTGTGTCTGGAATCTCATTGTCATCAGATATTGTAACATGTAAAAAAATGAAATCGTGTGTAATCTATGAATTTCTTATGTTTGAGATCTGCATTATTTTTCTTTAAAACCAATTTTTCTGTTAACACCGATTTAACACACACTTTCTTCCCAGGGATTTGACACGAAAAGCTATATATAGGTCAATGACTTGGATCAAAGACATGTAATAAGTCAAATAGTCAAATCAACAGAAATAGTGGATCGACCATAACAACAAATCAATGGAATGCCGTTCATGATTGGATGAATATATGCCATCTGGCCAATAAAACGTTGCGATAAGAAAAGTGCTTGACTATGTCACTATAGCTCCTGACAGTGTTTCCCTATGATACAGAAAGTATGATGCAAAGACACATTTCAATTACAAATTTTGATGGCTGTGCATTGTTTTATTGCATTGATACTGTAAGTAAGACTAATCCTTACTATTTACTGTTTAATTATGAAATTATGAAGCATGTGATGCCTGGCTTCTCATTTCTCTTGGTTAAAAGTCTGACCACTTCGACATCTATCTGTCAAATTTGAATTTTATTGGTCTACCGTTGACCGATGGCCATCTGAAACTCAGCTTCCAACAAGCAAGGTTCATTATAAGTAAAGGGCCTCTCTGAACGTGCTGGAGGCCTGTCTTGGTCAGGTTAAGGAAACTTTTAGGATGGGCACAAGCAGCAGGCAACTTCAAAGGATACGTTTCAATGTTTTTCCCTCTTGGCAGAGAACGGGGAGCCTGTCTTTGTGACCTGAGCGAAGCATATTTACTCAGTGCAGATAATTTGTGACAGAGAGCAGATTTGAAGCTATCTGTTTGCTGTTAGGGCGAAGCATCAGGTGAAGGAGGGACTGGATGGAGTTGTCTCCCCTTTCATCTTCAAACCGGCTATGTCATTATATATAAAGTACTGGAAATGTGTTTTAAGGGTTGTGGCGTAAAGAAATGTGTATTAATGTTTTATTTGAGTAATAAGCATGAAAGCATGCTAAGCTTGATGTTCAACATTTATCAATATCATGCTCATGTTGGTCAAAAGCTCTTTGAGCATACATTCATGGATGGATGACGTATTACAAATGTCCATTATTTTTGTTGTTGTTGGTATCAAGTTGGTTAACTAGACTGAACTGTGAACCTATTTAGCTGTCAATGTTGATGAGGATAAATTGCTGTTGTGTGTCAGTGTTTCGTCAGTTCAATGGTGTACGATTCAGCATGTTCAGTAAGATAGAAGTGCATTTTATCTGTATGAGCCAAAGGCCTTTTGTCCAGTTGCCCCACATATCCTTTGGCATCTCCGAATTTTAGTTTGGCTTAAGCTTAATTTGCAGCATACCGGTATGATGCCCTCAAGCTTTTTTTTTAAATTTTGCTTTTGATACAGCAGAATGTCTGAGAGGGGAAAATGTTCTGATGGCATTTGTTTCTAGCAAAATCACAGCATCATTTTAAGCTGATTTTAGTCAATGATTTTCAACACAAACAACGGAATAAATGCAAAAACATTTCAGCACTATGTAACATGTATGATGAATTGGCATATGTTTTCATCGCAGGTGTTTCTCGTGTTTATGGAATAACGGTGACAGCAAGAGATGAGACAGGAATTAAAGGACCCAACCCAGTCGCTGTCAAGTGTGAATATGTACTGGCACCGGGAGAAGTACTTTTTTCAATAACAATGAGTAGAAAAAGAACAACAGATCCATCTTATACGGACATCGCTGTTTTTAGACCAGATGTCAACTCAGCACTCTATGGTGCAAGTGTTGCAGAGGATTTTAAACTTCGAACAACACTCATCATGTCTGATGGTTCCACAAGTGTGCGTTTTGATAGTGTAGAATGTGAGGATGAGGCAGCCTACCGCTGTACTGTTAGTTATCAAACCGCAGGGACCACGGCTGCTACACAGACAGCTGATATGAATCTTCTATTGCAAGGTAAGTGAGTTTTATCATTTACATATTGAAACTTGAGTTATACAGTTCAGGACAAATTATAACGGGAGATCCAGGACATTTAAGTAACAGAATTCACTGGGATGTTCAAAAAACGTTTTATGTTTTTAACATGTTATGTCTGTAAGAAACAAACAAACTACGACAAAGACACAGTCTGAAGAATTTGTTTTTAACTCCACATGTAGAAATTAAGATGCGGTTGGTCATGTTGGAGTTGCCTATTTCATATTTCTTAAGTGATGTAATGTGTGTGTGTATGTTCCCTTGCAGCACAACCCTTGACACCAACCATAACACTGACTCCTGCCCACGCTGATGGCTACACAGACGGAGAGCAGGTTCATTTCCAGTGTCAGGGATCTGTTGGAAAACCTGCAGGAGACTTCTTGTGGTTCAGGTACCGTGGTAACACGCCAGAGGACATAACTAGTCTAGCCATACTAAACCCTGCCTATTCAAGTCCAGGAACCTGCACCTCTGATCGAATAAGTCAGCTGAAACTGAATGTCAGCAGACAAGACAATGGAATGACCATCCGGTGTGCAGCAAACCACACTTTGCTCACAAAACCTACAGGATTTGAAACATGCAACTCTACATGTAGACAAACTGACAAGATCACAGTTTTCTGTAAGTATGCAGGGTTTCAGATTAGTTAATTTTCTGGACATTGGTTTGTTGTCATCCAGTATGCCCTTAATAAAAAGAATTTCAAATTCTGGAATGATATAGAAGAATGTCCAAGCAAAAGTTGAATGTCTATGAAAAAGTCCTAATGTAATTTGTCTCAAGCAAAATCACTGGCATGAATTTCAGAGGTGGATAACATGTTTGATGAATTGTTTGATAGGCATTACGTAGAAGTTGACGGATGACAAAGTAGACACAATATGTTTGATGTGATGTGGAATATGTACCATGTCTTGATTTTAACCATGACAGAGGGAAGGCCCGTTAATTTTACCAATAACTGGTAATCAATGATGATCATTCAATTGGTTCAGCAGACATTGCTATCATTTGGCAGTCACTTAAAAAGAGGGAAAAGGGTTGGCAGTGGTAGTTTTCAACATTGGCAGTCGTATACATGTATGACTTATACATCGTTATGATTGTTGGGCAGTGGTAGATATACATGTTGGGTTGTGGTATTTATTAGCCTAGGAATGGTAGATATAAATCTTGGACTGTGGTAGGTATAAGCCTGGCAGTGTTAGGTATATACATTTTGGGTTGTGGTAGTGATTAGCCTAGCAATGGTAGATATAAATGTTGGGTTGTGGTAGTTATTAGCCTAGCAATGGTAGATATAAATGTTGGGTCGTGGTAGTTATTAGCCTAGCAATGGTAGATATAAATGTTGGGTTGTGGTAGTTATTAGCCTAGCAATGGTAGATATGAATGTTGGGTTGTGGTAGTTATTAGCCTGGCAGTGGTAGATATGAATGTTGGGTTGTGGTAGTTATTAGCCTGGCAGTGGTAGATATGAATGTTGGGTCGTGGTAGTTATTAGCCTGGCAGTGGTAGATATGAATGTTGGGTCGTGGTAGTTATAAGCCTGGCAGTGGAAGATATGAATGTTGGGTCGTGGTAGTTATAAGCCTGGCAGTGGTAGATATGAATGTTGGGTCGTGGTAGTTATTAGCCTGGCAGTGGTAGATATGAATGTTGGGTCGTGGTAGTTATAAGCCTAGCAATGGTAGATATAAATGTTGGGTTGTGGTAGTTATAAGCCTAGCAGTGGTTGATATGAATGTTGGGTCGTGATAATTATTAGCCTAGCAATGATAGATATGAATGTTGGGTCGTGGTAGTTATAAGCCTGGCAGTGGTAGATATGAATGTTGGGTCGTGGTAGTTATTAGCCTGGCAGTGGTAGATATGAATGTTGGGTCGTGGTAGTTATAAGCCTAGCAATGGTAGATATAAATGTTGGGTTGTGGTAGTTATAAGCCTAGCAGTGGTTGATATGAATGTTGGGTCGTGATAATTATTAGCCTAGCAATGGTAGATATGAATGTTGGGTCGTGGTAGTTATAAGCCTGGCAGTGGTAGATATGAATGTTGGGTCGTGGTAGTTATTAGCCTGGCAGTGGTAGATATGAATGTTGGGTCGTGGTAGTTATAAGCCTAGCATTGGTTGATATGAATGTTGGGTCGTGATAATTATTAGCCTAGCAATGGTAGATATGAATGTTGGGTCGTGGTAGTTATAAGCCTAGCAATGGTAGATATAAATGTTGGGTTGTGGTAGTTATTAGCCTGGCAATGGTAGATATGAATGTTGGGTCGTGGTAGTTATAAGCCTAGCAATGGTAGATATAAGTGTTGGGTTGTGGTAGTTATTAGCCTAGCAGTGGTAGATATGAATGTTGGGTCGTGGTAGTTATTAGCCTGGCAGTGGTAGATATGAATGTTGGGTCGTGGTAGTTATTAGCCTGGCAGTGGTAGATATGAATGTTGGGTCGTGGTAGTTATTAGCCTGGCAGTGGTAGATATGAATGTTGGGTCGTGGTAGTTATTAGCCTGGCAGTGGTAGATATGAATGTTGGGTCGTGGTAGTTATTAGCCTGGCAGTGGTAGATATGAATGTTGGGTCGTGGTAGTTATTAGCCTGGCAGTGGTAGATATGAATGTTGGGTCGTGGTAGTTATTAGCCTGGCAGTGGTAGATATGAATGTTGGGTCATGGTAGATATTAGCCTGGCAGTGGTAGATATGAATGTTGGGTCATGGTAGTTATTAGCCTGGCAGTGGTAGATATGAATGTTGGGTCATGGTAGTTATTAGCCTGGCAGTGGTAGATATGAATGTTGGGTAGTGGTAGTTATTAGCCTGGCAGTGGTAGATATGAATGTTGGGTCATGGTAGTTATTAGCCTGGCAGTGGTAGATATGAAAGTTGGGTAGTGGTAGTTATTAGCCTGGCAGTGGTAGATATGAATGTTGGGTAGTGGTAGTTATTAGCCTGGCAGTGGTAGATATGAATGTTGGGTCATGGTAGTTATTAGCCTGGCAGTGGTAGATATGAATGTTGGGTAGTGGTAGTTATTAGCCTGGCAGTGGTAGATATGAATGTTGGGTTGTGGTAGTTATTAGCCTGGCAGTGGTAGATATGAATGTTGGGTCATGGTATTTATCAGCCTGGTAGTGGTAGATATGAATGTTGGGTCATGGTAGTTATTAGCCTGGCAGTGGTAGATATGAATGTTGGGTCGTGGTAGTTATTAGCCTGGCAGTGGTAGATATGAATGTTGGGTCGTGGTAGTTATTAGCCTGGCAGTGGTAGATATGAATGTTGGGTAGTGGTAGTTATTAGCCTGGCAGTGGTAGATATGAATGTTGGGTCGTGGTATTTATCAGCGTAGCAAAGTTTCCTCCCATAAATTAGGGGCAGTTGACATTGTGTGGAAGCCTCATTGTTAAAGTTTTGGTTTGATTCCACACTTGTGTACAATTTTGGAAACAGTTTCTGTGTCCCCTGCAAGAATAGGGTTGGAATACTGAATAAAAGCAGCGAAAAACCATACTCACTGATGCTAATATTTGCAGATACATTCACCGATAGTGACCCCGATGTCAGCTCCAACCCTGCAGGTGGCACACACACCGTTGGCGACACCGTCACCCTGAAGTGTAATGCTGATACCAACCCACCAGCAACCTTCTCCTGGCACAAAGAAGGAGACGATAATTCCACCACGCCGGGCGAAGAATGGACACTTTCTAATCTTCAGATAGAAGATTCAGGAACATACACATGTATGGCCACCAATGTTGTCGGTGGTGTGACGTACAATGCATCAAGATCTCTCAACATCAATGTTGGTGAGTACAGCTTATTGTTTTCTATATCTTTGCTCATATCAGTTCTTGTACAAATACTCAAGGGACATATATGAAGGCGAACATAATCCAGGGACCCGTTCCACAAAGCGATCTTAGTGCTACGACTGTCCTAAGTCAGTGTTAAAGAATGGGAGTTACGACCGACTTAGCGCTAAGATCGCTTTGTGGAACGGGGCCCTGGTTATCCTAGATTAGTTGATATTTCTACAATCTCCACAGACAATTATGTCTTTGGTGGAGAAAGTGGAACATCTCAGCATGTGAAAGAAATTGCTTCCACAGAATTGTAGAGGTCTTGATTTTCATATCTGCCTATTCATCCTTGATGATTATGTGTAAGATGTCTCCTTTTTTTAGGGCAATAGTAATAGTCTGGACCCAGAGCTACCAGAGCTTGATGTCCTGATGTCATGACATGAACATTTTATATTTTGAAATTAGTTTCTTGTTGGCTGAAGCAGATAATCCCAGTTCTGTATTTACAAGCGCATGCTAGATTGAACCAGCCACCCTATGTTAGATTCAGGGCTTTGAAGTACAAATAGCAAGATGGCTAAGGTACGGGTACTGGTAAGACAAAGAGGTCAGGAGTTATTTTTGGAATGACGTTTACATCTTTGCACGAGCATGATCATCTAACTGTGACTGAACTAATGCATGTATTCCTCTCTGTCTCTCTCTCACTCCTTACCAACATCTGCAGTTGCAACAACAACCACCCCTTCCACCACACCCTCTACGAGTACACAAAGCCCTCCTTCTGGAAAGACAGATGCTGTTAAGCCCGGACCAACAGGTATGTTCAGCTGTTAACTGTCGTCATGTTTCAGTCACGTGTCTGTCGTGTTTTTTATGTCATGTCTCATGTGATATGCAGTGACTGTACCTCTGCCATGACATGTCATGTGATTTACTTTGACTATACCTTTATCATGTGATATCATCTGTCATGTGGGGGCACGGGTGGCCCAGTCTTCTAAGGCGCTGCATATTGCTGTGCAGAGTTGCATCTCTTGGACACGCCAGAAACCTATGATTGTGGGTTCGAATCCCGGTTCGCCCCGATTATGTTTCTAGGTTTGTCAGCACCATACCCGTGCTCGTTGGTTTCACCGAAGTGGTAAACGTCTGAGACCTGCATCACTTCAGGCTTTCCTCCCACATTAAGCTGACCTGCCTTGATATAACTGGAATACTGTTAAAAGCGGCGTTATACCCAACTCACTCACTCACTCATCTGTCAAGTGATGTGCTGTGACTGTACCTCTGTGATTGATGAGGAGGAAACAGCCATTAAATATTCCTTCAGTGATTTGATTCAAGACATTACACACACATCCAATAAGACTAGATCAGAGAACAATATCTTTTTTATCAGTGATAGACTCCGTTGGTATGTTTCAACTCATCCACTGTTAATTTCAACTAGACAACTAGAGGTAGCCATATATCACCCTCAATATGGTCAACACTGTGTGGTGAGCCCATGCTTTCCCCTAGGGGAACATCTGCAGCCTGCACTATGTCCGAACTGACAAGTGTGACAACTTGTTGCATGGGTTGAGATATTGTTGGATGTCAGTTGCTGTGATGTTAACTGTGTTACAGTGACTGTTCTGTCATGCATGTTGGCATGGAGATTTGTTTGCATAATTAGCATTGTCCTTGTGTAGAAAAAGGCAATCCTCACAGTTGAATCCGACCCCACCAAATTACACCTGACTTCCTTAACAACCACCTGACAGCATTTTACTGGTAATCCCACATAGGTGCACTTTACTATGACAATCCCCACCCCTTTCTTGACCCCCTCAGATTTTCTTTACCCATCTGCAATTAACCCCACCCCACCCACTTAACTCAACCCAGTCCCACTTTATCCAACCCTTTCCCACTTAACTCAACCCTGTCCCACTTTATCCAACCCCGTCCCACTTAACTCAACCCCGGACCACTTTATCCAACCCCATCCCACTTAACTTAACCCTGTCCCACTTAACTCAACCCCGTCCCACTTTATCAAACCCTATCCCACTTAACTCAACCCTGGACCACTTTATCCAACCCCATCCCACTTAACTAAACCCTGTCCCACTTAACTCAACCCTGTCCCACTTTATCCAACCCCGTCCCACTTAACCCAACCCCGGACCACTTTATCCAACCCCATCCCACTTAACTAAACCCTGTCCCACTTTACTCAACCCTGTCCCACTTAACTCAACCCTGTCCCACTTTATCCAACCCCATACCACTTTATCAAACCCTATCCCACTTAACTCAACCCCATTCCACTTAACTCAACCCTGTCCCACTTAACTCAACCCCGGACCACTTTATCCAACCCCATCCCACTTAACTAAACCCTGTCCCACTTAACTCAACCCTGTCCCACTTAACTCAACCCTGTCCCACTTTATCAAACCCCATACCACTTTATCAAACCCTATCCCACTTAACTCAACCCTATTCCACTTAACTCAACCCTTTCCCATTTAACCCAACCCCACCCACTTAACCAAGCCCTATCCCACTTAACACAACCCCACCCACTTAACCAAGCCCTATCCCACTTAACACAACCAGTCCTCGCTTAACACGAACCCACTCATCTTACTCAATCCAACTTAACCCAACTCCACCCCGTATGACCCCTAACCCCTTCTGACATCTTCACCCTACACAAGTGCAAATGTACATCACAACTCACCCAATTAGTAGAAACATCGAGTCCAACTTTGTAGACATGTTCAGACATAGGGAGTGATAATTACATGTATGTCCTTTCATGGCATGAATGTTGAAATCAATGTACATTGGGACATATTTCTGTTAAATACTGCATCGTTGTGATTGGGCCACAAAGCTCAACTAAATGAGGATTGCCTGTTTATTCGACTGAAAACTGTCATTTTCTACAACATTTAAAAAGTAATGTGCATGACCTTATTCCTTATCTAGTACATAAGTTGCAAGTTGAATTGACCTGTTATTTATTACTTCACACAGACGTTTGTTTTGACATATCCTTCCTTAGCATGTAAACTATGCAACATTAATACTATGTAGACATTGATAGTTGTATTCTACATATCTATGTTGTGTTTCAGACGACGGAGACAACACTACCATCATCATCGTCGTGTGTGTCGTCGTCGGGCTGGTGCTTATTTTGGGCATCATCGCTGGCGTCTGCTTCTACAGACGAAGAAAGGCAAAGAGTCCCCCTGAAGGTCTGTGTGTGACACATTTAAGTCAGTTTTCTCCCGATTACTATTTCTTGCACTGGGGACATGGCGTCAGTATTACAATATCCTGTGAAGAACTGGGGTAGTCTTCAGCCTGTCATGTTTGTTGTAAAAGGGATCAGATGGTCAGGCTCGTGACTTGGTTGATGGCTCGTCAGTGTATCTCAATTGAGTGGATGGATGCTCATGATGTCAATCACTGGATTGTCTGGTTCAGACTTGATTATTTACAAGCTGCTGTCATATAGCTGGAATATTGCTGAGTGCTGCATTTAACACCATACAAAAACAAAACAGTATTACAATATTTACAGTGTCAGATAGTCATGCTAATCCTGCAAGCTTATGTTTGAAATGATGTACAATAGATGACTGTTTCCAAATTGTATTTTTCCTGCCTCAATTCTCTTTTTATCTCATTTCCAGAGCCATCTGAAAAGCCATACAAGTAAGTAGAACTGTATAATTATACTCCAGATACATGGGACCCGTGAAGATTCTGGGGTAGAATAGGTCTTCAGCAACCCATGCTTGCCGTAAAAGGTGACTATGCTTGTCGTAAGAGGCGACCAACGGGATCGGGTGGTCAGGCTCGCTGACTTGGTTGATGCATATCATCCATCCCAATTGCGTGGATCGATGCGCATGATATTAATCACTGGATTGTCTGGTCCAGGTTTGATTATTAACAGACAGCCGTCATATAGCTGGAGTATTGCCGAGTGCAGCGTTAAACAATAAAGCAACAAACCAACCAGATATATGATTTCAAAAAATACAAATATGTAATGAAAAGTATCTGACTTTATTTTGATGAAGATAAGATTTTGATGAAGATAACATTTCAATGAAAGAGCGTTTATCTTAATAAGTTTTATTTTTGGTATAATAAATAACCATAGTATCAAAATAGACACCAAGCTCCTCACAGCGATAGCCCGTTCGCGAAGCTCTCTTTACTACCGCTGCCACCAGTCAAAACTTCCCACTGTGATAGGTAGCCCCAACCATGCTTGGAGTTGAACTCGCAACCGAATGACCGTTATGTTTACAAACAAGTGACGACTGTCATGACGCCGAATACACTTACCACTGATAAATTACTTTCTTTGTTTGTCAATTTGAATTTCTATTTCATTAAAACTATCATGTAATTGATATAATAAAAATGTAAGGGAGACGTTGGTTGATTTTCCGTTAGTCTGCAATCTCGAACCAATCTGATTATACAAACAACAAAATACATTCATCTGGAAGACATGGTCAGTCGTAAACCTTTTCAAAATGAAATATGATGGCATTCCAAAAGACATAAACAAAAGTATAAACGTTGCCACATTTGGGGATAGAGGCCAAATTTCAAGATTCTTGTAATGGCCGCGCCCAAACTGGTGGCAGCGAAGTTACTGAGAGTGTAACGAAGGTGTGCTGCGCTGGGAAGGAGCTTTAATAGACACAGTGAAAGGGAGATAATTTTCAGGAGTTATCTCCCTTTATTCCTGGAATATCATGCAAGTAAACCGGACACAATTAAGTGAAATTAATTTTTTTTAAAAATAGGTATTCAACGGCTTTTAACATGTACATGTGTGAACAGTCTAGCGTTAAAGCAGCAATAAAATTTATAAAATTGGCTAGCTTAGTCAGCTCCTTATCTGAGTGCACAGGGGGGCACAAGTGGCCCAGTCGTCTAAGGCGCCGTGATTCGCTGTGCAGAGTTGCGTCCCTTTGGCACGCCAGAAACCTATGATTGTGGGTTCAAATCCCAGTTCGCCCCGATTATGTTTCTAGGTTTGTCAGCACCATACCCGTGCTCATGGGTTTCACCGAAGTGGTAAACGTCTGAAACCTGCATCACTTCGAGCTTTCCTCCCACATTAATGTGACACGCCGCGATATTACTTGAATACTGTTAAAAGCAGCGTTAAACCCAACTCACTCACTCACTCTGAGTGCACAGTGGGGACAAGGATTGTCAGTTTTAGATATTCTGGAAATGAAGCCAAAATATTTGAATTAAATGATCATCCTTTTTTTTTTGAATATCAAGAAATGTAATACTTGTACCCAGGTTTTGTGTTTCAGTGTCTCATTTGTGTAATATATCTCCTTACAGCAATCAGAATATGTCGATATACAGCACAAAACCGGACCTGGTGACGAACGACAACAAGAAATTCAACCACTACAATAATGTAAGTAAACGAGATTAGATGGAGTTAACTTGATACACCTACTGTCTCACTTAGAATGTGACAAGGCATGAAGGAAATTAAACAAAGAGGGAATAGGACACTGCCTGAAAGTGTAGGTCTTGGTTAGCCATGGTTTGCTCGAGTGATCCAGATCAACGTTGTGAGTTAAGACACAATGTTGTTGGAATGCCTGTCGACCCCTGTAGCCGGTTGACCCCTGTAGCCCCAGGATGCCGGTACAACACGTTTGACCTTGCCCTTCGATCCTCACTTTGAAGTTGAATAAAACTACTTCACAAACATAAATATACTTCACGTTTCATTTCCTTCACCAATTCTCTGTTTTGTGATATGATTATGTTTGCCAAAGAATAAGTTACTGTAAACGACCTCTGAAGGTACCAGTTGACCAAGGCTCCCCCCCAGTGTTAGAAATAAACGCCCGTGGTAGGTGGATCTCGTGTCGGGCCTGTAGGTTCATTACCGTATTCAACGTAATAAGCGCCCCGCTCTAATAATTGCTAATATATTGGCTAGTGAACAATGCCAATCAGCACCCCTTCCGATTGATCAATGTACACAAGACTTATTTATTCGTGTATAATACGCACTCGTGTGTTATATCACCCTTAATTATGGGCAATTAAATTCTTGAAAAATATATCTGTCGTATGTAAACATTTCAGGCTGTTAGCATAAACCACAAAATTTACTATTTTTCAACTCAAAATAAATTCTTATAAGCGCCCCCCTATTTCTAATTTTGAGAGAGCCCTGGGCGCTTATTACGTTGAATACGGGATGTCAGTTCAATCATATTTGTTACTTTGGATATTTGTTTCTATTAATTTTGCAAGTTCATACAAATTTAAGCTATGGATCACTGAGGCACGATTTGTGCATGTGTTTTATAATGATGCGCCAAGTAAGTTCTAAAAAAATGTTTTAACATCACATTTATTTGTTTCCTTTTACAACAGAAAAATGAGGATGCTCTGAACTACGCAGACTTGCAATTCGACACCAAACCTCGTAGTCGGAAACCGGTGGCCCTGGCGGACACCATGACAGATTATGCTGATGTTTCGATGCCTCAAGTCTGATAAGGAATGTGTCGATGTCCCACATGGTGATATGAGCGTTATCAGATGTCATGTTCATTGCCATATAAACAATATCACTTGTAAAGAGATATCATGTATATTGAGATACGTTACCACACATGATGTGCATGGACATCTATCAGTGCTATGTATGGTTTCTGTTACTTAAAAATTGAAAAAAATGAGCTAAAAAGAGAGAAAAAGAGTTTGTTTCCTCAATCGATGTTTGTGGAAACGGCAATGATGCATGTAATGATTTTGTTTGTGTGTTTTTCGTTGGATTGGGAATGTCCACACATACAGTTTACCATTACTGGAACATTCTGTCCATCGGGATCTAGGATCTAGTGAGTAGTGACAGTGTCTTCGTGGAGTGTCTACAATACTACAGTTACTGGAGACTGACTCTTCGAATGTGGTTACCCAAATGAACATGTCACCTTGAACGTTACAGAACTACATGTGTGACAAGTTTACTGAAGTCGAGAAAATGAAACATCACTTTCCTCAACTAGACACAACGGCTGTAACTTTCCCATGGGATTTGCCAAAAGACGGGAAATGATTTTTTGACCAGTGGAGGAGAAACACACGGCGTGATCCTGACTAAACTATGTTTTCTTGGAATTTAAGCATTTCCCCTCCTGTGACAATATTCAGTTGTCCACGGAGGTTGTGACCTTATATCCTCATACACTGATTCCACCTGTTTTTGTATCTGGCTCTGTGAATTGTATTCAAGTACTCGTAACTAATTTGTTATCAGGGAACATTTGTTAAAAGGGAAACATGATAAAATCACTCGGCTACAGTTGCTTGTTTTTCATCACAAATTGACTATTATTGCCAGTCTATTGTCTATAACGTACATGTTTCACACAACAAATTGATTATTTGTTCTGAGGATATAAAGTCGAAAAGGCTAAGATTGGATTTGTGAAGACATTTATCAAGGTTAATGGAATACCAAAGATTATGTGGTTCTGATTTTAGGCTTTGGTGTGTTTGCCAAGAGTTTTAAATGTCTTAGGAAAGTATTTGTCCTGACCCTTAACCTGTCTTGCTAACATTATCATAAATACCCCAAAATATTAGCCAGTTCAAAATGAGAAAATCTGCACCACAATATATTTTTTGTTGACAAGTGGAAAAAGAACTGTTCAGGACAAGGATCTGTTGGGTCCTTTTGGAGCTGTCTTTCTTATTGGTAAATTGACCTGGCAGACAAGGGACATGACCCTGGAGATTAACAGACCTACGGAGACACTACAGATTTCACAGACCTACTGAGACACTAAAGATTTTAAGGACCTACTGAGACACGACAGATTTCACAGATTTACTGTGACACTACAGATTTAACAGACCTACTGAGGCACCACAGATTTGCTGAGACACTTCAGATTTAAAGGACCTACTGAGACACTACAGATTTTAACACTTTACCGACTGTCCCAAAGATTTGATGCCTGCCCTTAAATTGCGCATGAATCAAAATCGTCAGAAGAATGGGTTAGTCTTGTTGAATATTTCAAACTTATTGAAACATGGATGGGAACTTCAAAATATTTAAGGCCAGAGTGACAGCTCAAGACATGACTAAAAAGGACCATTATTTTCTATGATATCAAGCGTGCATGCTATAATTTCATGTAAAATAAAATGACTTCAAGGAGGGTTGTATGAAGACTAGATAACAGATGTTCTTTCAGTTAAAACAGTTAGCCTAAAAATAAGCCTCTTGCAACAGCGTATTTTTTGTGCATTAGTTTGAAGCATAAATATTTTTTTCATGCTTTTTGGGGGACAATATATTTTTTCAGTGCAGTTCCAGCCAACCAGAATATCAAATTGTCAGTCCCTTCGGATGTTCTTTGCTCATGTCCCCAGTTTTACCAAAGATGTCATATTGCCATTATGCTCTGTGTTCTGGTAATTGTGATGCAGCAGGTGGGTGAGGATGCCATAAATCCGCTCTGTTTTCACTGAATATTGAACAGGGGTAGTGTGATATCTGATAGTGTGGTTCTATGATTGCACATTCTTTGTTCTCTCAATGTCAGAGAATCCTTTGAAATCAAAATGTCTTTTGTGTGTGTGACATTGTAAAGTTTTCTTTCAAGACTTGCACTTTTTAAGACTCATGATTGATTCATCAAGAATTAAGTCATTTCACTTCCATTTAATCTCAACCAATATTCTACACATATTTCACCACATAGAATATGTTGTTTTTTTGTATTTGTATTTGTAAATAGAATAAAATATTGTTGTGCTCTTTACCCAAGTCTGCTAAGGGTCAGTTGGATATTGTATTCAGAACATCACAGTTGTCATGGTAACTTGGATTCTGTTGCCATGGGGATCAAACTTTTAGATACTTAATTAGCTTTGTTGGCCAGTTTCAGTTTTGACTGTCCTTGAATGTGTGTTGATAGCTTACCTTAAAACTGGATCTCATAGTGTTTGGTTTTCATGGCAATCTGTTCATTTTATTCAGTGTTTGAATGGAACTTGAGCAATGTTTTATACTGCTTTGGTAGAGTTATTCGTTTTGTTGTGAGAATAATACCTATTCTTTATGCCTATTGTGATAATTTCTCTAAACTTATTATGAAAATTATCATATTTTTTCATGAATAGAAGGAACTTGAAACTGCATTATTTTAGTTCAGATTACAATAGATGAGATATTATCTCTGTCATTGATATTATTTTCTTCTCACATGGGCTGTGAAACCAACCAAAACATGTATTTTTGTTTAGCTTGATAGAGAGAATGTTGTCATTAAAATGCTGTCAGCTGATCGGCAGCTTACAGTTTGTGGCTGAGGTTGTAAACTGATAATCTGAAGTAACACTAATGTATTTGATTCTAATACAATCATTAATATGCTTCAGAGTCTGTTTATTACAAGGCAATGCCACTTTTATGCCAAGATCCTGAAAGCATTTAATTGAGGTTAATATCTTACATTAGAGTTCTTGAAATTAGAGTTTGAATTGTCCTGGCTGAATGCATAAATTTCAAGCTTGAAGAAAACGAGACAGATGTATATATAAAATATAAGTCATAAAAGGAAATTTGTTATTTGAGTGCAATTATCTGAATTAGGCAAGTTTTGTAAGTAATTAGATGCAAATCTAATCTTTCATTTTTCTCTCCTTAATTGTATTGTAAAATTAGAAGAAACACAATATCCAAAGCTATGCCCCAAATTCTATTGCATCAGTCAATTTGCTTGTCAGATCTATTTCAATATTAATATGACACAATATGACAGAAACGACTGTTTTCATTGAGTTGCATGCATATTGTTTTCATCTTACGTATCATGTATATTACAAGTAATGTTATTTTTCCTACTGTATATATTTCTCCGATGATTCAACATCCATATCTTCTCATTTTGATAGTTCATTAGCACATTGTGCCGATAGTGAACATGTGTTTTACATTTTTTAAAAGATCCCCATGCGAGACCGTGATCAGGGGAACTGATCCCGTTAGTTAAAGAGAAGTTTTTATACTGGTACTATTTTTTATATGAAATCAGGACATTTTGGCCTTGGTGTCAGGCCTAGATGGATTTGGGTCTCATTCTGTGATCATACATATTGACCGAAATTCTCACATGTTTTCGGTTTGTGAAAATAGAGTTTGCTGCATCAAAAACTTGACGTGGTCTTAATATTACGGGAAAGTGTTATCTTTACACAATCAGTCGGTTTAGGATCTTGCATATTACCAGATTAAGTTGTATGATCTCATTGCTGTGTACAATGTACAATAGAGTTTGACATAGTTCTGTCTGCCTTGGCTTGGACCACACCTAGCTGAAATGTCGTATTTAAAATACGGAATTTGTATTTTCCTTTCTTACTATTTGTAATTCTGCTCCGAGTTAATTTAAGTTAGTTTGCCTTATAGGAGCTCAATTTGAATCCATCATTTTCATGTTAACACAGTGGTGAAATTCCTGATTTTTATAATTTAGTTTTTCATTTCTCAAATCTTTTTTACCATTCTGAAAATCAGACTTTTTGAACTCCTTGGTGACATCTCCTTAATTGTGTTGTGTGATTTTAAAAGAATTGTATTGAGTATATTATGCATACTTTTACTTCCACACTTTTAAGCTGTGCACTACATAAGCTACTTGCACGTTATTTAGAAATGTGTCCATAAGACCATATGGTGATAGCGGTGGTTTCTGATGAGCGTATAAGTGTCTTGCCTGTATGCATGAATGTTGGTTTTGTTGTTTGTCCACTCTTCTGTAGTGGCGTTTTAATTGCATGTCATCCTATATTGTCATCACATTGTCCCCATTGTCGTCATTGTCATCATTGTCATCTATTGTTATTTCATTTTCATTAAACATCCTCTAATCCCAGGTGTGTTTTCATCAAGCTGCCAGAAATCGCTTGAATGAACAGGTGGAGCAAGCAATACTCTGAATGTTGCCATCAAGCATTTTTATTGTGCCATCTCTATGTTTAGGGCCAGACCATTTTATGGGTGACAAGTTTGCTTGGTTGGGTGAAAAATCTTGCTCAACATTAACCTAAGCAGCCCATTTTAAACTTTAACAGAGATAGTTTTGTACTCTTTTTATCAGATTATTTGTGGCCAGGAACTATATTATTTTATTATCAATTGTAATTTTAAAGAACTACAGTTTTTTAATTATATAAATTTTGTGTACATGTCAACTTTGAGGTGGCAAATGAAAAGATGTTGGATGGGCAAATATGAACATGTTTAAATTATTGTCATTTTCTTGCTGGAGTCACGTGATTCATCTGGTAAGGTGTGTGTCCTGAAGGTTCTAAGTGTTGATGTACATATCCCTGGGGTTTTAGGATGCATCCTGGTCATAATTGCTTATTTCAGATTCATTTGTAATTACATCATGATTAGATTGTACATAGGTCAAATTAGATTATTATCTCAGAGCATATTTTATTGTAATGCTAGCATGATCAATCATTATAAACATAACAAATAAAACAAATTTATAATAACTCTTGTTTTACATGGTTTGTGCTTTTTTTATCATGTTTATGTTTGTGTGAAATGTGATAATTTTCAGCAAACAAGTGGTTATGCAGTACAAGAAACAAGGTGTCCAACTAAACAGTACTCTGAGAAGCAAGGAGCCTTATATAATCCTCAACAAAGTTGAGGATACTCAGAAATAACTTTAAATTTCCAAAATTGCAAGAGATATTGGTTTCTAGTTTTTGTTGTTGTTTTTTGTTGTTTAATGCCACACTCAACAATATTCCAGCTATATGACGGCGGTTTCTAGAAATAGGTGTATAATAATGAACAAATTGGGAACACATTACAAATGGTAGTGAAGTATGACAGTGGATGTTTTGACTGCAAACGATCTAGACTGATTGTTTGTTGTTTAACGCAGCACTCAGCAATATTCCAGCTATATGACGGCAGTCAGTAAATAATCAAGTCTGGACCAGACAATTCAGTGATTGATATCATGAGCATCTATCCATGCAATTGGGATACAATGACATGCATCAACCAAGTCAGTGAGCCTGACCACCTGATTCCATTAGTCGCCTCTTACAACAAGCATAGTCGTCTTTTACTGCAAACAGATTGGTGAAGATTTATTCTACCCGGATTTCTTGAAGGACGATGGGGATGAGATGGGAAATTTCAGAGTTGATGTTTTCGGATTAGTAGTGAGTAATACAATCATGATCTGTCCAACACGACGAGGCATATTGCGAATGAGTTTCCCAATGTCGCTTTGAGGAAGTTTTTACCCACACTTGCAGCGCCTGGCTAAGCTCAGCCAACGTGGTCCGGTCCTATGACGTTGACATACACGTCTCCCCACCATGTCCCATACTTTTCAATAGGGAAAATGTCTGGGCTCATTGCTGGCCATGGCATTACATGGATGTTGTGCTGCTGGAAGAGTATAGACGATTGGTGCACAGTTAGCTCAGGTGCCTTCCGTCCTGAAAGACAAAACATTGACCCACACGCCTTAGTATATTGTCCCGCTAGTACTGTCAAGAGATTATTCCTTGCACGATATGGAGTGGGATTCGCTGTCATAGTGATGCCACGCCAAGGCATAACCGATCCACTTCCAGATCTGTCATGTCGTCTTCGATTGACATAAGCTTGACGTTCATTTCAACGTCCCCAGACATGACCACGTCTCTCAAGTTAGTGTAAAGTGAATCGGGACTCATCTGTAAACATGACATCAGACCATCAACGTTTAACCCAGTTTCGACGCTCTGTACACCATTAACGTCTGTTGGCACCATTACAATTTTTTAAGGGGTAGCACAACACGTGGCCGTAGAGGATGGAGATGAGCGGCATGCAGACAATTTCTAATCGTATGAGCCGCAACTCGTACTCCAGTAGCCTGATGAACCTTGTTACCAATTTGAATCGCCGTTTGACTCAAACTCTATTCTATTTCGTAGAGCCTGGTTTCGGGTCTATCGATCCTGTGCTCTTGTCTCTGATCTTTGGACTCCCTGTACGGCGTTCGTCTAGATTTTGGGTTCGTTGTTGCTAATCACAGACAGTGAAACAACGAACGTATTGGCCCCTTCACGCCGACTTCTGCTAGTTTCCAGCATGCCAATAGCCGGTAGACGTTCCGGGCGTTGCAGAAGCCGCATCGCTAGTTCATACACAAACAGTTAGTGAAACCATGTAAATCACAACTGTATGACAAGCATAATTTGGTCCACAGTGATTAATCAACCTTCTTTGAAAGTGTCAAACTCAGGAAGGACACTACGCACGCGTGTTGAACAACTGCGTGAGGTACGTGCAAACTATAGGGCTTGTTTTTTGGTGTTTTACAAATAAAAACGTCAACACCTTGTATCTTGTAATAGTTTGTATTAACATTTATTCTTCAAGGTCCCCTCACCTTTCAGAGTACAAAAGAGGACACATGGGAGAAACACAACAGGGGGTTTATTGTATAAATAACACAGGTTTGTCTGTTGGGCAGATCAACATATCCTCTCCTACAGGGATCTGTTGTACAGATCTACTAATCCTCTTATACAGTGATCTGTTGTACAGATCAACTAATCCTCTCCTACAGGGATCTGTTGTACAGATAAACTAATCCACTCCTACAGGGATCTGTTGTACAGATCCACCAATCCACTACTACAGGGATCTGTTGTACAGATCCACCAATCCTCTCCTACAGGGATCTGTTGTACAGATCAACTTATCCTCTCCTACGGGGATCTGTTGTACAGATCAACTAATCCTCTCCTACAGGGATCTGTTGTACAGATCAACTAATCCTCTACTACAGGGATCTGTTGTACAGATCAACCTATCCTCTCCTACAGGGATCTGTTGTACAGATCATCTAATCCTCTCCTACGGGGATCTGTTGTACATATCAACTAATCCTCTCCTACAGGGATCTGTTGTACAGATCTACTAATCCACTCCTACAGGGATCTGTTGTACAGATCAACTTATCCTCTCCTACAGGGATCTGTTGTACAGATCAACTAATCCTCTCCTACAGGGATTTTTTGTACATATCAACTAATCCTCTCTTACAGGGATCTGTTGTACAGATCAACTTATCCTCTCCTACAGGGATCTGTTGTACAGATCAACTTATCCTCTCCTACAGGGATCTGTTGTACAGATCAACTTATCCTCTCCTACAGGGATCTGTTGTACATATCAACTAATCCTCTCCTACAGGGATCTGTTGTACAGATCAACTTATCCTCTCCTACAGGGATCTGTTGTACAGATCAACTTATCCTCTCCTACAGGGATCTGTTGTACAGATCAACTAATCCTCTCCTACAGGGATCTGTTGTACAGATCAACTAATCCTCTCCTACGGGGATCTGTTGTACAGATCAACTTATCCTCTCCTACAGGGATCTGTTGTACAGATCAACTAATCCTCTCCTACAGGGATCTGTTGTACAGATCAACTAATCCTCTCCTGCAGGGATCTGTTGTACAGATCAACTAATCCACTCCTACAGGGATCTGTTGTACAGATCAACTAATCCTCTCCTACAGGGATCTGTTTACAGATCCACTAATCCACTTTCCTGATCCTGGGATGTTTTGCACAGGTAAACTGGAAATTACGGGTTGTGTGTGAGATTTTACGTCCGCATGCAAAGATTACTGAAATTCTCTGTAAAATGGAACATTGATAAATGTTGCAATCTCCGGATGGGCGTTTGTGAGTCTTTCTTCAGTAGATAAGTACTCACAAATTCAAAATATTTATTCAACTATATGACTTGTTCCGTAGATAGTATAACCCTCACCATTTCAAAATATGTATTCATATTTAATGTCATTAAATTATGAGTGAGTGAGTTAGGTCTCAGACGTTTACCACTTCGCTGAAAGCCACGAGCACGGGTATGGTGCTGACAAACCTAGAAACGTAATCAGGGCGAACCGGGATTCGAACCCACAATCATAGGTTTCGGCCATGCCCAAGGGACGCAAAACTGCACAGCAAATCGCGGCGCCTTAGACGACTGGGCCCCCATCTTTACAGCGGACATAAAACGCAGACACCATAATTGTATGTAATAAAAAAAAAGACCGCCTGAGACAGGGTCTCTTGTACGCCTGACCGCCTGAGATTGGGTCTCCTATACACTGCCTGATATAGGGTCTCCTCTACACGTGACTGCCTGAGATAAAGTCTCCTGTACACGTGACTGTCTAAGACAGTGTCTCATGTACACGTAACTGTGTGAGATAGGGTCTCCTGGACGCGTGGTTTGAACGTCTCATTTGTATAAAAACGTGTGAAATTCGGGCACAAGTATCGAGGCTTTATCGTCGGGGCTGCCTGTGCGCAAGCAGTAAAGAGGCTGCCAACCTCCATTTGGTACGCAGGATTCGGAAGTTGGTAAGACGGTATTCGGGACTCTGTAGTAGGGTACGCGGGACGAAAATAATATCGTACTTGTTACGCAGATTCTACATTACTTATAAGTTTCCGTTATAATATTATATTTTGTCCATATTTTGTTCAGTAATTTAACTTCAAACCGCGCCCTTTTCTCACTGCTTATGAGATTTATGTTAAATAGTATTCGCTGTTCAGGGTGAGCAATGAGGTGAAATGGGGTTTAACGTCGCCTCCAAGATTATTGCACTTATATAGCGACGTGCATGTACGTGTGTGTGGCTGCTTGTACTAGTCCGGACTGATGCCGATCTATAGTGCTAGCTCACTGAGATATCATGCCGCAGTTGAACATGAATACCCCACTCAGACACAGTATACTGACTCCGAGCCTACCAGTCACTTAATGCCGAGCGCCAGACAGGGTAACAAGAAGTACCATCTTTTAACGTCTTTTGGTATGACGCGGCCGGGGATCGAACCCCGTACCTTCCGCTCTCCGGGCGGACGCTCTACCACTAGACCACGGAGGCGGTTCGGTGAGCAACGAGACTCAGACTTAGGATTCAGCAGGGAAAAGGGTTGGCACCCTCAGTAAGCCCCGGGGGAGAGACGTCATTAAGTTGAAGAGGAAAATCACGACAAGAGATATGTTAAAACGAAATAATAAACCTTTGATATAAATAGAGCACGAAATTCATTTAGGCGAACCAGATCTTGAGATTTTATGTATGCTTTATATGTAAGCGTTGATTTCGTTTCCCATTTACCCGATCTGTATTATGGCACTATTATATGTTTATGTAACCTTCGCGGTACTACCCAGGATCAACATCATGTATAATTTAATGCTGACTTTAGCAGTCTGTTTAAATAGGGAAGTTGCTAGAAGGGTAACGTGTATTCACGTCATCAGGCTTCGGCACGGAGGGGGCTTCGCTGAGCAATTGGTGATGCTATTAAACATTATTAAAATTAAAAAAATGTCAATAGTTCATTTTATTATGTTTAAAAATGAAATATTGATACTTTTATCTCAACAAATGGATTAAACAGTAAATCGGTGTATCGTTAACATGATTAATTCGAAGC